GCACTTCTTGCTCAGTACCGGCATGCTGGCGGTACTCCGGTACTCATGCACCGTGCCAGTACTCAACACTCCTCCCGCCCGTTCTTATTATACATCCATATATATATATATATACAGCCGCCCGGTACTCAGTAGATGCGTCATGAGGTGCCGAACGGACATTCTCATCGCTCTAAACCGCTGGAGTTTCACAGCGGCTGTCAGCTGTTTACTCCTGTCATTCAAACAGAAACGTGCTGGAGAGGGGGCGGGGGCTTATCTTCTCCATGTAAATACTGTGGTGGAAACGACTATGTCAAAATTAACCTATTGACCGTGATTTAATAGTAATACACGTTTCAAAATAATAATAATAATAATGCCGAAGTAACAACAATCCTGAAAACTGTTAGTAAAACCATGTTTTAATGCTTTACAATTACATACCTAGATGCACGTGTGTTGTGTTTATGCAGTGCAACTCCCACCCAGTGGGTGGCTATGTAGAGTGATATAACAGAGCAGGCACGCCCCCGAGAGAAGGAAAGCAAGTCACGTCACAAATTAGCATTTCTAAAATGTTAGCTTGGATTAATAAAAGTGCAAAAAGACAGCGGTTGTCGCCGGAAGAAACTTCAAATACAGAGAATGCTGTGCCTGTGTTGGAAATTGTGTCTGATGGGGAGCTTTCTTTGGTTGATCCTCCTGCTCCAAGTTCTAGTGCATTAGCATTAGCACTAGCTCCGCCGCCTCCTCCAGAGCCTCTAACGTTAGCTGCTGCTGGCGCAACTGCCACCACCAACACCGGGCAAAGCGATGCACCTGACTGCTGGACAACGGACCAGGTGCAATATTTTTGCAAGACCAATGCATGGCTCCTTCTTAAAGATAAGAAGCTAGGATGTCGGATATGCAGAGATGTCAAATATTTGGGAATACACACTGGACAAGGACTGAAACTGTCAACTGAATGGGGTGAGTGTGCAGTGTCTCATTTCGGTGTTGACAAGGGCAAACAACAAGCTAGCCTGAGAAAAAAAATCAAAGAACATAAAGAATCACAAGCCCATGTAAAAGCTGCTGACATCCTTACATCTGCTTCACGTGAAACTATTCAACATCAAGTGCAGTCTATGCATACATCTGAATTAGACACCACTATCAGAGTTTTTCGAACGGCATATAAAATTGGCAAACATAGCCGGCCATTCACAGACATGCCAATTGATTTGAATGTACAGAAACTGAATGGGCTGAACGTGGGCAGGGTTTTTGCACTACAATAAAACCTGTGGCGAAATCATCGACCACATAGCTCATGAGCTGAAGAAAAAAATGGCAAAAGACATTACAGAAAACCAAAGAAAACTCTGTGTTTTGGTCGATGAATCTACCACTATTAGTGGTAAAACGGTGCTTGTTGTGTGTCTACGCTCAGCATTAGCTGATGCTGAGCCCGAAACGTTTTTTTGGGAGCTGATCGAGTTGGATGGAACAACGGCTGATGACATCACAAAGGCGTTAATGGAGTGTCTTGGAAGAGATTTTAACGAGGACTTTTTAGGTCAGTGTTTCGTTTCTTTTGCATGTGATGGGGCTTCAGTCATGCTAGGGAAGAGAACAGGCGTTGCTACCCAGTTGTGTAGTAAATTCCCAAGCCTGTTTGTGTGGCACTGCTCCAATCATCGTCTAGAGCTGGCAGTTGGGGATGTGGTCAAGGAGGTCTCAGGGCTCAATCATTTCCAGATCTTTTTTGACAAACTCTATTCCTTGTTCCATGCCTCCCCCAAAAATCAGAGGCAGTTAACGCAGTGTGCGCAAGCAGTCGGACAGCGTCTCCTGGTGATAGGGCGTGTGTTGTCCATCCGCTGGGTGGCTTCAAGTGAAAGGAGCGTCAGAGCAGTCTGGGAAAACTACCGAGTGCTTCATGATCACTTCACAAATGCTGCAAAACGACACGAGCAGGGATTCCAGAGACAGAGCAAAGTACAAGGGCCTGGATGATGTGCTCACATCTGCAACGTTTGTCAGCAATCTGGGACTGATGTACGATGCGCTCACAGAGCTCAGCGACCTCTCTCGGCAACTCCAAAAAAGAGAGATGACACTGCCTACAGCAGATAGGCTCTTAACTCGAGAAATACGAGTTTTTGAATCCATGGTCACCATGCCTGGCCCACACATGACTACAGTTCATACAGCTCTAGCTGAGAAGTCCTTCAAGGTGTTGCCCTGCGTGAGAATGGCAGGCTTGTACAGATTCATGCAGGTCAGTTTTTTCCGCAGTATGGTAGAGAATCTGAGACACAGAATGACTTCCACAACCTCCTCTCATGTCAGCACAAGAGAAATCCCATTACATGGCCGGGAGGCCCGGGACAATCAGCTAATCCAGGACATGAAAGTTATCCATCCTGGAAGTTGGCCTGAAGAGGAGTTAGACGTACAGTATGGGGACGTAGAGGTGCTACGTTTGTGCGAAGTGCTGAAAGTGGACAGAAGAGAGACTGTTCAGGGCTTTCGCGAATACAAGGAAACCAGGGCATCCCGTACACCTGCTGCCATGGAGCCTCTACTGAAAGCAGTCCGAACCATCGCTGTCTCCACTAGTGAGTGTGAGCGGGCATTCAGCTGCATGAACGATATCCTTACTGCAAAAAGGAATGCTCTCTCTGTCAGCCGACTGTCCAGCCTGGTTTTCATTAAATGTAATGGACCATCACTAGGACAGTTCAATCCGGAACAGTATGTGAGGTCCTGGCTGGCAAAGGGAAGGAGAAGTGCTGATGAAAGAGCCTGTCCAGCTCCAGCCCCTGATACTGATGTCCCCAAGGCCTTCTGGAGCCTTTTCTAACAATGTGAAGTATATTGCAAAGCAGCTCACCCAGTGAGAAGACTTTTGGCATAATGTGCCGATTTGTACAGATCCTGGAGATAGAAGGACTTCAGACCAACCAGGGAGTTATCTGATCAGCTTGGTGTTCAATGTAACTCTTTACCATGGCTCAGACTTTGTTACTTGCAGTTACAGTTTCTCATTTTAGATTGTGCAAATTTTGCATTTGTTTTTACATGTTCTTTGTTCATGCTCTTTATCATTTTTCTGAGTTGGAAAGTTAGATTGCATCATAGTTTACTTTATACATATTTGTATTCTTCAGTGGTGAAGTATATTGCAAAGCAGCTCAGCCATGTGAGAAGACTTTTGGCACTTTTTCGTTTTTCGTTTTCTGAGTTGGAAAGTTAGATTGCATTCAAAATGTACAGAAATACTTAATTTTGTTAAAGCTTTTTATAAAAAATGCTTCTGACCAGAGCTTTGTTTCCTTGTCATTAATGTTGAACACCACCAGAGGGGCTCTCACCTGAAAGGTCTCTGCTTCATGTGTCTTCAGCAGAAGATCTAGACTTTGATTGCTATATTTTCAGTTAATATTGACCTTACTGAGCTTTAGCCATATCCGCTGCCTATCATAAAAATTTTTAAGTACAGTGAACCTTTCTAAAATATACAGTAGTAAAGAGACAAACCCACCAGCATTATAGTAGCCAAATTCTTGTTTGTGGGCTGTATATATAAAATTGACTTGAAAAAGTTGCTGATTTTAGAGTACTGGCACCTTTTTCATTCCAATTCAAGCACTGCTCCGAGCACTACTTCAGGTCCTCCGTCGCTTCACACTTGCAGAGGGCGATTTCTCAACTGGCCGAACTGGTGTCCTGGTCGGTGATGACACCAGAAAGACCGATGGTACTGCATCTCCACTAAGTAATGGTTGTTCAATAAATCCCATGTTATGTTTTATCATACTCTCAGAGTAGTCGTCCGGAAACTTGAAATGTTCGCTGCATACATGCGCCTGTGGATCTTTCGGTTCGGGCCGGCCACATTTCGCTAGCCACTGCCTCCGAACGTACTTCCTACGCTTCCCTTTTGGCAACAGATGGAACCGAGCATTCCGTGGATTGTTCCTATCAGAATTGTGGCAATGTTTCGCGATACAATGAGGCATATTTGAAGAGAGTAACTACAGTAAATAACATGAACATCAACGTGTCCTCGAAACCAAACGCATGGTTTACGTCACGTCCGGTAAAATGGCGCCGCCCACAGTGTTGATGTTATTTCGGTAATTAATCAGTTTAAAATCACTGATAATGTCATCGGATTAAAAAAAAAAAAAAAAAGACTGGCAGAGACTGGTCTGTTTTATCGGATGATAATTATTTAAAAATGCGTGTCATGAGCATACCATTCCTTTAAGAAGCCAGGAATGGGTAAAAGGTGTGGGAGCACTGGCTGTGGGGATGGGTTGAATGCAGAGGTCCAATTACACTGTGTGACAAATAAAGAGGGCTTTCATCCTCCGATTCTAAAACAAAATCAATGAACTCTTATCATTTTTGTATGAACCCTGAGGCAATCTGATCTCGAACATGGACCTCTTCAGTCCTGCTGTGCTTCAATGCAGAACATGACAGCTTGTCTGATGTTTGTGAATCATTAGTGAAGCGAGTCCTGGGTCAGAGCATAATTTTGTTTAACCATAATAAAAATATATATCTGTACCGTGATCTCGACTCTGGCTCGCGCGGAGTTCCCTTCAGCGTTCCCATGGAGGGAATCCTGAAAGACAAATGGCAACTTGAGTTGATGCTGTTCCCAAACCTCCAAACGGCACATCGACCGGATCATTGAGTGACTTATGAATACAAATCTAAATGCATGTATTGGCTGTTCTCTCTCTCTGTTTCTAAATAGAATATATATACATATATATGTACGCGTCGCTGCACATTATCCCTTACTTATAAGTAAGGGATAATGTGCAGCGACGCGGTCATTATGGGGAAAAGAACACCGACAGGCTGATCAGGAGCCCGACGCGAGGCGGAGGGATCTAGATCGGCCTGAAGGTGTCATTATCCGCTTATCACACGGCCACATTCTCAACAAAGTAACGACATGACTCCCAATATTAATTGAAATGCTTTTGTGGATTTAGAAAATGATTTTATTGATTTAAAAAATAGTTGTATGTATTGATTTAAATTGACATGCATCCGCTAAGAGAAATAGTCCGTTGTTACCGTTTGAACTAACGTAGCAACGGCAGGAACTGCTTCCATAGCGCTTTTGAGGAGCTTTTTGATTACAGATTTTAAAACATCGCTGCTTGCTTTAAAAGTAGCACAATTCATGATGTCAAACCTTGGAAAGTATCTAGATATCCCTGCCCTAATGCCAAAGGAACTGCACACTGAATATGTGTCGCCGTCTGATGTCTATGTCTGGACCGCTGCGTAACAAGGAGGTTTCTGCCCCGTTACTTCTCCGCTGTTTTCTTGTCGCTCTTGTCTCGTCAGTTAGAAAAGCAAACTGTAAACAGTTCAATCGAACAGACTTCTTTGTGCAGATGTGAGCGTCCTTAACAGCGGTCCATAAATCCTTAACAGCGGTCAATAAATCCTTGACAGCGGTCTGTCTGTTCTCGATTAACAACGTGTCACGTGTTCTGAATTGACCAATCAGAATCGAGTATTCAACTAAGCCATGTAATAAATATATATACATATACAAGCCAAAACATCGTTATGACATCATCAAATGTGTGTGTGTGTGTGTGTGTGTGTGTGTGTGTGTGTGTGTGTGGCCTAGCATTACTATACTTGTGGGGACCTAAATCTGTTTACACAGTCACGTGTGGGGACTCGCCTCCCTTATGGGGACAAATTGGAGGTCCCCATGAGGGTTAGGGTTAGGATAAGTCTCCAGGAAAGTCAATGTAATGTCCCCTGAAGTGATGTATACATGGTATGTGTGTGTGTATGTGTGTGTGTGTGTGTGTGTATGTGTGTGTGTGTGTGTGTGTGTGTGTGTGTGTGTGTGTGTGTGTGTGTGTGTGTGTCAACGTGCCGCTGTCCCTCAGAGCGGCCGTCGGACTGGTTCCTGACTGCATGGATCCTCAGCGTGAACAAAGGGAACTCACCCACAGGTTCTGCTTCTGCCTGCGGCGCATGAAGAGGAACAGGAAGAGAGGCAGGAGGACGTTCAGAGCCACGGAGATGACCAGGAAGCCCTTCAGGGTGACGCTCTCTGAGAGGCAGGAGAGAGAGAATCAGTGCACAATACATCACACGCTTTCATGAAGACGGAAGGAGGAGAGAGGATACAAGAGAGCAGTGCAAGTCATTCAACTCAATTTACACGAATATTATCTCAATGTGTTAAAGAAGGAAAAAACGTACCTCTGCCTGATCCGTCTGTGAATGGAAACAAACACACACACACAGTATCATTAGAAACAGAAAGACAGTGTGTTATGATTTCATCTTCAGGGAATAACGTAAGAAAAGGCGGAAAAACAAAATCTAAATATTGGGAAATAGTGATCACTTTTAAATGTTGAAATGGGGAGGCTGTGGCTCAGTGAATAGTGTGCTGGACTTGGGATCAGGGGGTAGCAAGTTCGAGTCCCACTGCAGTCCGCATGTCGTTCTGTCCTTCAGACCCTTCACCCCAAAGGGCTCCACAGTATTGAATGTATGTAAGTTGATAAAAGCGTCTAACATGTGATGTGATTAATTAAATGAGTCTCAATTAACAAGACGAGGAGAGGCAGCGAGAGTGACACAGAGACACAAGTGTTGGTATGTCTACGAGTGTTTTAATTAACTTCCTGTTTGTCCAGCTTCGTTTTACAAGAGCTCCTTCATCCCGTGTGATTTACTGTTCATCTATTCCTTGGTTATTTATCTTTGGGGCTGTGGGTCCTCTCCTATCATCAGGTCGTTGGAGGTCCTTTTCCACACTGAGACCTTTTAAAGTCCCAACTCTCTGCCACTTCTAACCAATGACTAACTTTGGGATTCAGGGGAAAGCTTACCTAGTTTAACGCTCTCTGCTGAACTTGGATCTACGAGAAGATAGAAAATACACATCAGTACAATTTAGAAAGAAGGCATTCAATTCAGTTATTTTCAAGAAAAGCCTTGAAACGAGATATTTCACTTTGGAAATATCTCGATGAGTCCCAAGCCGTGTTTATTGAAGGCTAGGCAGCCCAATCTGATGTTTCTGCATGCAGCGCACTGATTGGTTGTTGGGGAAACGTCTTGTTTCTTCCATGGATCCACATGCAGCTCAGATCAGGGAAGCATCTCTCCCCAGCAGCCAATCACTGAGCTGCTGACAAACTTTAAACCCGTTCTCTCTATTTGGAGGAATAGAGTGGTGAGTCCTAAACGCAGAAAACACTTTTGTTTCTTTTATCAAAGAATTATATTATGATTGGGTCAAATCGCCAAAAAGGGTTATTTACACACGACGATGCAGATATAAAAGCACACATGATCCAAAACACATGACGAATTTAGCTGTGTGCGTCACTCTTTAGTGTCCCCTGGTCTCCTAGTTGTGTTCGTCACTCTTTCGTTTCCCCTGGTCTCCAGCTGTGTGTGTCACTCTTTAGTGTCCCCTGGTCTCCAGCTGTGTGCGTCACTCTTTAGTGTCCCCTGGTCTGCCAGCTGTGTGTGTCACTCTTTAGTGTCCCCTGGTCTTCCAGCTGTGTGCGTCACTCTTTAGTGTCCCCTGGTCTCCAGCTGTGTGCGTCACTCTTTAGTGTCCCCTGGTCTGCCAGCTGTGTGTGTCACTCTTTAGTGTCCCCTGGTCTCCCAGCTGTGTGCGTCACTCTTTAGTGTCCCCTGGTCTTCCAGCTGTGTGCGTCACTCTTTAGTGTCCCCTGGTCTCCCAGCTGTGTGCGTCACTCTTTAGTGTCCCCTGGTCTCCAGCTGTGTGCGTCACTCTTTAGTGTCCCCTGGTCTCCAGCTGTGTGCGTCACTCTTTAGTGTCCCCTGGTCTCCCAGCTGTGTGCGTCACTCTTTAGTGTCCCCTGGTCTCCCAGCTGTGTGTGTCACTCTTTAGTGTCCCCTGGTCTCCAGCTGTGTGCATCACTCTTTAGTGTCCCCTGGTCTGCCAGCTGTGTGTGTCACTCTTTAGTGTCCCCTGGTCTTCCAGCTGTGTGCTTCACTCTTTAGTGTCCCCTGGTCTGCCAGCTGTGTGCGTCACTCTTTAGTGTCCCCTGGTCTTCCAGCTGTGTGCGTCACTCTTTAGTGTCCCCTGGTCTCCCAGCTGTGTGCGTCACTCTTTAGTGTCCCCTGGTCTCCAGCTGTGTGCGTCACTCTTTAGTGTCCCCTGGTCTCCCAGCTGTGTGCGTCACTCTTTAGTGTCCCCTGGTCTCCCAGCTGTGTGTGTCACTCTTTAGTGTCCCCTGGTCTCCAGCTGTGTGCATCACTCTTTAGTGTCCCCTGGTCTGCCAGCTGTGTGTGTCACTCTTTAGTGTCCCCTGGTCTTCCAGCTGTGTGCTTCACTCTTTAGTGTCCCCTGGTCTGCCAGCTGTGTGCGTCACTCTTTAGTGTCCCCTGGTCTTCCAGCTGTGTGCGTCACTCTTTAGTGTCCCCTGGTCTCCCAGCTGTGTGCGTCACTCTTTAGTGTCCCCTGGTCTTCCAGCTGTAGGGGTCACTCTTTAGTGTCCCCTGGTCTCCCAGCTGTGTGCGTCACTCTTTAGTGTCCCCTGGTCTCCAGCTGTGTTCGTCACTCTTTAGTGTCCCCTGGTCTCCTAGTTGTGTACGTCACTCTTTAGTGTCCCCTGGTCTCCAGCTGTGTGCGTCACTCTTTAGTGTCCCCTGGTCTCCCAGCTGTGTGTGTCACTCTTTAGTGTCCCCTGGTCTTCCAGCTGTGTGCGTCACTTTTTAGTGTCCCCATGTCTCCCAGCTGTGTTTGTCACTCTTTAGTGTCCCCTGGTCTCCAGCTATGTTTGTCACTCTTTAGTGTCCCCTGGTCTCCCAGCTGTGTGCGTCACTCTTTAGTGTCCCCTGGTCTCCAGCTGTGTGCGTCACTCTTTAGTGTCCCCTGGTCTCCCAGCTGTGTGCGTCACTCTTTAGTGTCCCCTGGTCTCCAGCTGTGTGCGTCACTCTTTAGTGTCCCCTGGTCTCCAGCTGTGTGCGTCACTCTTTAGTGTCCCCTGGTCTCCAGCTGTGTGCGTAAACTCTTTAGTGTCCCCTGGTCTTCCAGCTGTGTGCGTCACTCTTTAGTGTCCCCTGGTCTCCAGCTGTGTGCGTAAACTCTTTAGTGTCCCCTGGTCTTCCAGCTGTGTGGGTCACTCTTTAGTGTCCCCTGGTCTCCAGCTGTGTGCGTCACTCTTTAGTGTCCCCTGGTCTTCCAGCTGTGTGCGTCACTCTTTAGTGTCCCCTGGTCTCCCAGCTGTGTGCGTCACTCTTTAGTGTCCCCTGGTCTCCCAGCTGTGTGCGTCACTCTTTAGTGTCCCCTGGTCTCCAGCTGTGTGCGTCACTCTTTAGTGTCCCCTGGTCTTCCAGCTGTAGGGGTCACTCTTTAGTGTCCCCTGGTCTCCCAGCTGTGTGCGTCACTCTTTAGTGTCCCCTGGTCTGCAGCTGTGTGTGTCACTCTTTAGTGTCCCCTGGTCTCCCAGCTGTGTGCGTCACTCTTTAGTGTCCCCTGGTCTCCAGCTGTGTGCGTCACTCTTTAGTGTCCCCTGGTCTCCCAGCTGTGTGCGTCACTCTTTAGTGTCCCCTGGTCTTCCAGCTGTAGGGGTCACTCTTTAGTGTCCCCTGGTCTCCCAGCTGTGTGTGTCACTCTTTAGTGTCCCCTGGTCTCCCAGCTGTGTGCGTCACTCTTTAGTGTCCCCTGGTCTCCAGCTGTGTGCGTCACTCTTTAGTGTCCCCTGGTCTTCCAGCTGTGTGCGTCACTCTTTAGTGTCCCCTGGTCTCCCAGCTGTGTGCGTCACTCTTTAGTGTCCCCTGGTCTCCAGCTGTGTGCGTCACTCTTTAGTGTCCCCTGGTCTTCCAGCTGTAGGGGTCACTCTTTAGTGTCCCCTGGTCTCCCAGCTGTGTGCGTCACTCTTTAGTGTCCCCTGGTCTCCAGCTGTGTGTGTCACTCTTTAGTGTCCCCTGGTCTCCCAGCTGTGTGCGTCACTCTTTAGTGTCCCCTGGTCTCCCAGCTGTGTGCCGTCACTCTTTGGTGTCCCCTGGTCTCCAGCTGTGTGCGTCACTCTTTAGTGTCCCCTGGTCTTCCAGCTGTAGGGGTCACTCTTTAGTGTCCCCTGGTCTCCCAGCTGTGTGCGTCACTCTTTAGTGTCCCCTGGTCTGCAGCTGTGGTGTGTCACTCTTTAGTGTCCCCTGGTCTCCCAGCTTGTGTGCGTCACTCTTTAGTGTCCCCTGGTCTCCAGCTGTGTGCGTCACTCTTTAGTGTCCCCTGGTCTCCCAGCTGTGTGCGTCACTCTTTAGTGTCCCCTGGTCTTCCAGCTGTAGGGGTCACTCTTTAGTGTCCCCTGGTCTCCCAGCTGTGTGTGTCACTCTTTAGTGTCCCCTGGTCTCCCAGCTGTGTGCGTCACTCTTTAGTGTCCCCTGGTCTCCAGCTGTGTGCGTCACTCTTAGTGTCCCCTGGTCTTCCAGCTGTGGTGCGTCACTCTTTAGTGTCCCCTGGTCTCCCAGCTGTGTGCGTCACTCTTTAGTGTCCCCTGGTCTCCAGCTGTGTGCGTCACTCTTTAGTGTCCCCTGGTCTTCCAGCTGTAGGGGTCACTCTTTAGTGTCCCCTGGTCTCCCAGCTGTGTGCGTCACTCTTTAGTGTCCCCTGGTCTCCAGCTGTGTGTGTCACTCTTTAGTGTCCCCTGGTCTGCCAGCTGTGTGTGTCACTCTTTAGTGTCCCCTGGTCTCCCAGCTGTGTGCTTCACTCTTTAGTGTCCCCTGGTCTCCCAGCTGTGTGCGTCACTCTTTAGTGTCCCCTGGTCTCCAGCTGTGTGCGTCACTCTTTAGTGTCCCCTGGTCTCCCAGCTGTGTGCGTCACTCTTTAGTGTCCCCTGGTCTCCAGCTGTGTGCGTCACTCTTTAGTGTCCCCTGGTCTTCCAGCTGTAGGGGTCACTCTTTAGTGTCCCCTGGTCTCCCAGCTGTGTGCGTCACTCTTTAGTGTCCCCTGGTCTCCAGCTGTGTTCGTCACTCTTTAGTGTCCCCTGGTCTCCTAGTTGTGTGCGTCACTCTTTAGTGTCCCCTTGTCTCCAGCTGTGTGCGTCACTCTTTAGTGTCCCCTGGTCTCCCAGCTGTGTGCGTCACTCTTTAGTGTCCCCTGGTCTTCCAGCTGTGTGCGTCACTTTTTAGTGTCCCCTGGTCTCCCAGCTGTGTGCGTCATTCTTTAGTGTCCCCTGGTCTCCAGCTGTGTGCGTCACTCTTTAGTGTCCCCTGGTCTCCGTTGTGTTTTGAGCTTCTTGCAGAGTCTTGTATTTGCAGCCTTTTCGCTTAGCGGCTAACTTCAGGGAAAACTCAGGGTTTCACCTTGCAGGTGCAGCTCTGTGGCTTTGATCCTGGATCAAGTGTTTAAGTCATGGATGTTTAAAGTTTAACTTCTTCATATGTCTAATATTATAGTTGACTTTTCATTCAGGAAGTATGACGCTGCGCTGTCAGTACGCTTCTCCATGTTTGTGATTGGTCGAATGCTCCAGAGACCACCCCTCTCATGTGAACACCTAACTAGATAGGACACGGCTGGCTTGAGCGATCCACTTGATAACCCGCGTCGTAGGACCGCTTAGCGAGAGCGCGTATGTTTTGGATTAGGCCAACCGGCTAACTCAAACGTATCCAGGTTAGGTTGAACCGGCTTCGTAGAACAGGCCCCTGGTCTCAGGTCTCTGTTGTGTTTTGAGCTTCTTGCATCGTTTGGTTTCTGCAGCTTTTAGTAAAGGCTGCCATGTCTCCTCAAGTTGCTGGAGATGTTTCTTCATGTGGAACATTTGGGTTTTTATATCTGCATCCTTTCTCAAACTGTCTCTCCTGATGGAAGAGGAGATTTGGGTCGTTTGCACCTCCGTAGATTTAGTTATAAAACATAAGTAATAAATACAAGTATAATATATTTAATTGCCTCGATACAGGTAGCAATGATGTAATCACATATAGCCGTTAGCTTAGCTTACCAGTGGTTCCGTGTATTGGGCTCGATGTGACATTTGGTGCCAGTGTTGATGGTGATACAAGTGTTAATGCTGTATTTGACAATACTGTTGTTGGTGTGGTTGGTGTTCTTTCTGGCAGTGTTGTTGTTGTTGGTGGTGGTGGTGGCAGTGTTGTTGTTGTTGGTGGTGGTGGCAGTGTTGTTGTTGGTGGTGGCAGTGTTGTTGTTGGTGGTGGCAGTGTTGTTGTTGTTGGTGGTGGCGGCAATGTTGTTGTTGTTTTACCTGAATAAAGGCAGTCAGTCAGTAATAGCGTGTCTCAATATGGGCTTTATAGGCAATGAGAGCAATATAAGACTAAGCATTTCAATAGGAAGATAAATGAGTGACGTGGAGCAGGAGGTATTTGGTCAAATCAAAGGCGCTATTTTAAGGTTATTATATGGGACTTATTAGCACCGTTAGCTGCTAGCCTTGTGCTAAACTGTTGCCACGCAGAATTAGGAAGCTTTAAGGGGATCAAACATGTGTTTTCTGACCAAATCTTATAGAGATGAGAAACATTTGCCAGACAAAAGGTAAAAAATGCCGTTATTTTTCACAGTTTTCACATATTTGAGATTGTCCCTCCGTGAATTATTAAATGTATTTCGCAGGAGTAAGAAATGCTTGGAGAGAAACACAGGAACAGAAGCTATAGAAACATAAGGTCATGCATCCATGGTTCTCTCAGAGCTCACATGAGGAGAAACAGAAGGATTTCACCAACATGCACTTTCTAATGACTTCCAGAAACAAGTGAGACTTACTGGCAGCTATCTTTGAATAGAGCTCGAGAACAGCTTCTGGAGAAAGAGCAGGAAACAAGAGGGTGTTACATCAATGAAGGTATAAGGCTGTAAAAGTGATTTAGTGGAATGAAAAACGACGGCTCTGAATAGGATGGATTCAGAGACACAACCAAACAGCTTCAGTAAAACAAGTTTAACTCAAATTGATTAGAGATTGAAAGCTATAGTGAGTTATGAGAGATTTTTTAAAAGGATTGAGTCGTGCTGGTTTCCCCCCCCCCGAAATATACCTCCGCTCAACGGGGTCTAATCACCAAACACTGCATCCATCTGTGTGTTCTTAAATCAATACATATTGTTCAATCAAAACAAAGTCTCTCCTGATTGAAGAGTTTTGAGGCGTTGTAGCACCGTTTAGACACACACACACACACACACACACACACACACACACACACACGTCACTAACACACACACACGTCACACACACACACACGTCACTAACACACACACACGTCACTAACACACACACACACACAGCATGTCCGTCACTAACACACACACACACAGCATGTCCGTCACTAACACACACACACACAGCATGTCCGTTACTAACACACACACACAACATGTCCGTCACTAACACACGCACACACACACACACACACACACACAGCATGTCCGTCACTAACACACGCACGCACACACACACACACACACACAGCATGTCCGTCACTAACACACACACACACACAGCATGTCCGTCACTAACACACACACACACAGCATGTCCGTCACTAACACACGCACACAGCATGTCCGTCACTAACACACGCACACAGCATGTCCGTCACACACACACACACACAGCATGTCCGTCACACACACACACACACACACACACACACACACACACACACACACACACACACACACACACACACACACACACACACCACACACACACACACACACACACACACACACACACACACACACACACACACACACACACACACACACACACATCATGTCCGTCACTAACACACACACACACAGCATGTCCGTTACTAACACACACACACACACACACAACATGTCCGTCACTAACACACACACACACAGCATGTCTGTCACTAACACACGCACACACACACACACACACACACACACAGCATGTCCGTCACTAACACACGCACGCACGCACGCACACACACACACACACACACACACACACACACACAGCATGTCCGTCACTAACACACGCACGCACACACACACACACACACACACACACAGACACACACACACACACACATCACTAACACACACACGCACACACACACAGCATGTCCGTCACACATACACACACACACACACACACACATACACACACACACACACACTCACCGTATTGGCAGAACCCATCTGCAGAGAAAGCAAAGAAAATTGTTATTATTGAAACTAGAATTTGTGTTAATTTACAGCAAATGTGAAACCCTGCTTGGATTCATTCAGTAGCTGCAGAGGTGCTTCCTGTTCCTCTTCAGCCATTCAAAGGCAAGTACTTTAACCAGCTTTACGGTAATAATACAGTTAGAAAATATGATGTTTTGTTACAAATTAAACTAGCCATTAGTTTATATAAGAACAGCATTTTGAGAGATTATATATATAAACATTACATTTTCTAATTTATTGAGTACTTTTACTACATTTTTCTGATTCTACTTTTACTCGAGTAACATTTCAAATGCATTTGTCTGAGCATCTGTGTGTGAACGTACGTGGCGGAACGAAACCGATGTCTTTGGCCATCAGGCACATGAAGTCATAGTGAGAGACGTTGTGAGAAACACTGGCTTTCTGGCACTCTTCAGTTATCACTGTGGCATCTTCCTGTTGTGAAACACAAACAACAAGTTATGAGCCTCTTCCTCCCAGAGCCTCTTCCTCCCAGAGCCTCTTCCTCCCAGAGCCTCTTCCTCCCAAAGCCTCTTCCTCCCAGAGCCTCTTCCTCCCAGAGCCTCTTCCTCCCAGAGCCTCTGCCTCTTCCTCCCAGAGCCTCTTCCTCCCAGAGCCTCTTCCTCCCAAAGCCTCTTCCTCCCAGAGCCTCTTCCTCCCAAAGCCTCTTCCTCCCAGAGCCTCTTCCTCCCAGAGCCTCTTCCTCCCAGAGCCTCTTCCTCCCAGAGCCTCTTCCTCCCAGAGCCTCTTCCTCCCAGAGCCTCTTCCTCCCAAAGCCTCTTCCTCCCAGAGCCTCTTCCTCCCAGAGCCTCTTCCTCCCAGAGCCTCTGCCTCTTCCTCCCAGAGCCTCTTCCTCCCAGAGCCTCTTCCTCCCAGAGCCTCTGCCTCTTCCTCCCAGAGCCTCTTCCTCCCAGAGCCTCTTCCTCCCAAAGCCTCTTCCTCCCAGAGCCTCTTCCTCCCAGAGCCTCTTCCTCCCAAAGCCTCTTCCTCCCAAAGCCTCTTCCTCACTGCAGTGTTACTTCTGAAGTTATTATGTCTTATATCAGGAGGACACATGGCTCGTGGCTTCTTGGAAGATATTTGAAACTGCCACGTTAACAATGATCGGTGTAACGTGAGGTCAGAGACCGAGGCTCAGTCCCATCCCTTAAATCAAAACTATTCTCCGAATATTTAATTCAATACTAATTCATAAATCGAAAGAATATACCTACATTTATTAGAAAATAATACGCTAACACTTTATGTTAAAGTAGAGACACTACATACTGATATACACCTGAACATCAGCAGGAGAGGACTCTTTAAAGTAGAGACACTACATACTGATATACACCTGAACATCAGCAGGAGAGGACTCTTTAAAGTAGAGACACTACATACTGATATACACCTGAACATCAGCAGGAGAGGACTCTTTAAAGTAGAGACACTACATACTGATGTACACCTGAACATCAGCAGGAGAGGACTCTTTAAAGTAGAGACACTACATACTGATGTACACCTGAACATCAGCAGGAGAGGACTCTTTAAAGTAGAGACACTACATACTGATATACACCTGAACATCAGCAGGAGAGGACTCTTTAAAGTAGAGACACTACATACTGATATACACCTGAACATCAGCAGGAGAGGACTCTTTAAAGTAGAGACACTACATACTGATATACACCTGAACATCAGCAGGAGAGGACTCTTTAAAGTAGAGACACTACATACTGATATACACCTGAACATCAGCAGGAGAGGACTCTTTAAAGTAGAGACACTACATACTGATATACACCTGAACATCAGCAGGAGAGGACTCTTTAAAGTAGAGACACTACATACTGATATACACCTGAACATCAGCAGGAGAGGACTCTTTAAAGTAGAGACACTACATACTGATATACACCTGAACATCAGCAGGAGTGGACTCTTTAAAGTAGAGACACTACATACTGATATACACCTGAACATCAGCAGGAGAGGACTCTTTAAAGTAGATACACTACATACTGATATACACCTGAACATCAGCAGGAGAGGACTCTTTAAAGTAGAGACACTACATACTAATATACACCTGAACATCAGCAGGAGAGGACTCTTTAAAGTAGAGACACTACATACTGATATACACCTGAACATCAGCAGGAGAGGACTCTTTAAAGTAGAGACACTACATACTGATATACACGTGAACATCAGCAGGAGAGGACTCTTTAAAGTAGAGTCACTACATACTGATATACACCTGAACATCAGCAGGAGAGGACTCTATAAAGTAGAGACACTACATACTGATATACACCTGGACATCAGCAGGAGAGGACTCTTTAAAGTAGAGACACTACATACTGATATACACCTGAACATCAGCAGGAGAGGACTCTTTAAAGTAGAGACACTACATACTGATATACACCTGAACATCAGCAGGAGAGGACTCTTTAAAGTAGAGACACTATATACTGATATACACCTGAACATCATCAGGAGAGGACTCTTTAAAGTAGAGACACTACATACTGATATACACCTGAACATCAGCAGGAGAGGACTCTTTAAAGTAGAGACACTATATACTGATATACACCTGAACATCATCAGGAGAGGACTCTTTAAAGTAGAGACACTACATACTGATATACACCTGAACATCAGCAGGAGAGGACTCTTGAAAGGATGGAGACGAGCAGTGACCGGAAGTTTTGCCGGATATAAATAGGGGTGGCCGTGGTTCGAGGTGGAGTTTTAGGCGTGGCCATGCTCCTGAACCTATCTTAACAATTTAACCTCATTTAGTGCTTCACATAATAAAATACACAACGGCTGTTGCAAGGGGCGCCGTAAGGGGGTGAAAAGTTAGGACGATTCTAAGGGCCCGTGACTGACAGGGTCCCAAATATATTTAGAACATTAAGGAAAAAAATGTAAGTAACCTTTCATCAATCATCAATAATTAACATTAATATAACGTCATATTGATGATGTAATCACTAAACTTACGATTCATTTAACTTATTTTCTTCCAAAAGTTAATTATCCAAAGCCTCTGAACACCCCCATCTATTTAAATGTAATGGTTTGGTCCTGCCTCCAAACGCTGTGCGGCACCGGCCCTTTCTAGCAGAGAGTGAGAGCATGTGAGCAGGGATGCTAGTACTTACGTGTGTACCATGTCTCAACGACTAACAAAGTCAGGCTTTCAAGAAAGAAAAGAAAGGAGAGAAAGACAAGAGAGAGGGACTAAAGGCCGACAGTATGTCACCCAGTTTTCAAAAGAAAAGGTGGGTGTGGCCGATGAGTGGTGGAAATTAGTCTGTTAGCTAAGCTTAGTCCATTGTAAATAATAATTGTAATGTTTTGCTGACATTAAGTTCTGTTAATATCTTCACAGAAAATTCAGAGGTTTTTAATTTCACTCCTCTTTTAGCTGACAGTTAATAAATGCAGGTAGATTTTTAGCAGCTATTCATACTAAATCAGTTGTCCCTCCCCCTGGTGCCAGGACCAACAGATCCATCTCTAGGCTCCGCAGCCCTGTCCCCCATAATGCTTTGCAGTCTTGCCATGCTGTCCATTGAAAGCCAGTTGGCTAGAAAGCTGGACTTCAAGGACTTGATCAGTGACTTTGCCTGTAAGAAGGCTAGGCGCTGGGCTCTTGGTGAGTAAAGCTGAGCCAGGGCTCGTAATAACTGTTAAAGGGCGAGGCTATGGTAACGGTATTGGATCACACACAAGATGCATGATGAGAAAAAGACTGAGAACAGGTGATAGGCTCTGATTTAGCAACACACTCTCACTCCCTAAGCGTCCAATAACGACGTTTGGTCAGTGTCCGTGGCGTCCAGTTGTGACGCTCCTAGAATCCTTCAGCGTCATAAAGGGACGCAAATAGCGTTCAACTGATTGCAATGTATTCCCATCTGCGGCGGGATTTGACGCTCATGGAAGCACGGCATTCGTTTGTGTCGGCTGCCCTTAAAGGCAATGTGAGCGTCCATTCCCATTGGATAACGGAGAATTGTACACCCGGAAGTAAGTATTCCCCTTACTGTGGATTGATTTTACAGTGATATCTGCACTACTCATCGACTAAAAAACACCAGATTATCCTTGTTAATTACACAACATTGATTGGTTTAAATTGTGTGCAATGCTTTTGTATTTTTCCCCTTCGATTCGGAGAAACAAATGTTTTTTCGGAGTAAAGGATGGCAGAAAACACTACATTACCCAGAATCCCCAGCTATCGTTTGGACTACACCATATGCTCTGTTTGACAAACCCCGTGATAGTCCTCAAGCTCTGTGATTGGAGAGTGCGCTCCGAGGGTTACGCCGAGCCTCGAACAGCACTTGAAATGGGATGGAACCACGCAGACTGTCCAAAACTGGATTTGAACGGGTCCACCGCGTCCCCCCCTCCCCCACCCTGTCCCCAGAACTACACATGCTGGCTATTCTGTTTCGCAACATGTTCTGTATCTATGGCACGTCTCTACTGGGAGTTGTAGTTTTAAAAGACGTTTTCGTATTTCCCATAATAAGAAGTTGCCAGTATTAAACTGTGTACATCCCTGGAGGTTTAGGGGATAGGAAACACTCACATTTAAAACATATAATTAATAAATGGGTGAAAATTGCTTGTGCCCATAATGGGCAGCATTAATATATATATACACACATGCCAGCTAAGGTCAGAAGAGCTTTATTTAACAGCTGGTCTTGTGTTTTTGACCCCTCCTGTTGTTAATTGATAAGCCTGAAACATGCACTTGTTAAGGTTCAGAGGCAAATTTTGCAAATACGGCAGTAGCCATCGATCAGCTTAAGATAAGATATAATTTATTGATCTCAAGTTAGAACATTTGCGTTACATCAGCATGTGTTACAGTTGTACATTATGCAGTGGTGTTTATTTGTAAATCATTTAGTATAATCACACAAATTCTGTGTTTTATATTTAACAATTCTGTGTTCTTTATGTATTGATTGTTCAATACCTGACAAGGCCGGAGATGAAATATCTACATACATCTTATAAGAGTATAATACATATGTATAATATCAGTTAAAATAAGTGCTTCAACATAGTTAACATTGCTGGAGGTATGCACACATATTGATAGATGTCTTGTAATGCGCTATTGAGGAACCTGCGACCCAAGTTTTTCATTCAATGCAGAACTACACCATAGTTGTGTAGGCCTATATGATATGTCAATAAACCTTAGAAAATCTTGAAATCTTGAAAGGGATGTGCAAAATAGTAATTATATACAGTCTTTAATTAACTATTAATAGAGAATAACGAATAATGAATATACTTTATAGGGATCCTATTAATATCTAATAATAAAAATAATGAAATTCAATAACATGCTTTAACCACTAGGTGTCCCTTTCTATCAGCTGTGCACCTTTATGGTGTAAATACAGCCTATCTACCAATTGGATCAAATATAAAAGTCAGCCGAATTAGTGTTGATACTGCAAGGAGACGTATTGTGTGAAAATAAATGTAAGATGTTGTTTAATGGCTGATATATTTATGATCCACGTCACGTTTTCAGTTCCTCATGTTTGTCTAGAAGTCTTCTCATCAGGGCTCTATAAATACAGAACTACGGCAGATATGTAATATTTAATGCAGCCGAACCGTGTATTACAATGCCGTTATGTGATGACTTCCAAAGAGAAAAGCAAGCACACTCGGAATAAAGTATTATTATTTCTTTTTAAATGTTTTCGGTCTGTTTCCGGTATTTGTTAATGACGATGTGCTGTGAGATGTGAGACTGGAATTGCACAGGGGAAAATAACGTAGGCTATCTTTAGATGCGGATTTTGTTAAACTAATATGTTTGCGCTGTGGACCAACACTATACATTGACGGGGAAGGGGGTAGCAATAAAGATAACACCATTAAACAGTTACACAACATAACAGAAATAATATCGATAGCAGCGTCCCTAGCAACCACCTTGGTAACAATGAAAACGTTATGGACGCAATTTCCTGAAGTAATCTTCGTAATAACTAGCAAACTAAAGATCATGTACATCCACTGCACACATCATCTGAAATAACAACTCATATTTCTCGCATCAAATGACATCAAAACGCATTTTAATGGCCAAACTAACTTTAAAATAGGCATTTTCCACCGAGAATAAAACGAAGTTCGGCCATGTTTTATTTTTCTGCAGGGAGAAATTTGAAGATCACGTGACGTCAAACAGAGCACATGATGTAGTCCAAACGATAGCTGGGGATTCTGGGTAGTGTAGTGTCTTCTGCCATCCTTTACTCCGAAAAAATATTTGTTTCTCCGAATCGAAGGGGAAAAATACAAAAGCATTGCACACAATTTAAACCAATCAATGTTGTGTAATTAACAAGGATAATCTGGTGTTTTTTAGTCGATGAGTAGTGCAGATATCACTGTAAAATCAATCGACAGTAAGGGGAATACTTACTTCCGGGTGTACAATTCTCCGTTATCCAATGGGAATGGACGCTCACATTGCCTTTAAGGGCAGCCGACAAAAACGAATGCCGTGCTTCCATGAGCGTCAAATCCCGCGCAGATGGGAATACATTGCAATCTATCTATGAAAGCTATTTGCGTCACTTTATGACGCTGAAGGAGCCTAGGAGCGTCACAACTGCACGCCACGGACACTGACCAAACGTCGTTATTGGACGCTTAGGGAGTGAGAGTGTGTTGGATTTAGCGCCACCATCAGGCTTTTTCATTTCCATTTCCGTTTTGTTGTCCGTTTACACTTTAATACCCGCTTATTTTGTAAAAATCTGCTGCTTATGTTATTTTTTTTGTTATAGCATTTTATAAATGATAATATTGGTGTTAATGTTCACTTTATTTTAATTTAAGAGGTCATGTATATTTAAGTTATATTTATTTTGATGTTTGAATGTTCCATTCAAAAATGTTATTAAAAAGGCATGTACTCCATAAAGATGACTATTGAGGTCTGTAGTCATGAATGTTAGAGTTATATCAAATAGAGAATTCTACTGCAGCAGAATGTTGCACGTCTGCACAGTGTTATATGTTCACCGCTCAGTGTCAGTACATATTGTGCGGTTAGTATTGGACTACAAGATAGATGCAAGCCTGTAGGTAGAGTTATTTAAAGCATCAATGAGTGGTTGGGTTCTGGAGGTGTGGGTACAGCAGTGTGCTTGGTTGGCCTGGGCCTGGTGGTGGGGCCCAATGTGATATCTTTCCATGGGGCCCAAAATCCCTGGCGGAGCCCCTGGCTGTAGCCTGATTATGCTTTAGGAGCTGTAAGTGCGTGTGTGTGGTACAGTGTGTGTGTGTGTGTGTGTCACGTCACCATTTACACACACTAAAACCTATAGAACACACTAAAGGAGAGGGAAAACCCCAAACAGCAGAATAGGGCCTCTTTAAATAGGAACTGACGGTAAAGAGCTGCTAGTTTTTCACTCACTTCGAAGTAGCAGGAAGTTATCACAGAACACATCTTCTCTTTTGTGTCATGGCAGATTTGCCCTGCAGAACACTCCATCACGTCCTGCATCGGGAAGAGCACACGTCATCAGACACTTTCCAACAGAATGCATTCACATTTATTTACACAACATGTTTCTCAGTTTCAGGGACCGACCTTGACATCGTTTGTGTTTTTGATGCCATAGGTTTGACCCCGCTCATCGTTCTGTGAAGAGCAGAGAACAAGACAAACTGAAGAGTCATCACCTGTTGAGGAACACTGCATTTCAAACATGACCCATGCACGACTGTGTGGGTCACATGATGTCAAAACAAATCAAAAAATAATACACAAATAAGTAAATGGATAAATAGACGAATAAATATAAAAAAACAAGTTAAAAAGTAATAATTCACTAACACATAACGCTGTTTGTTTTTTCGTGGCTTCTTGGAGGATATTTGAAACTGCCACGTTAACAATGATCGGTGTAACGTGAGGTCAGAGACCGAGGCTCAGTCCCACCCCTTAAATCAAAACTATTCTCCGAATATTTAATTCAATACTAATTCATAAATCGAAAGAATATACCTACATTTATTAGAAAATAATACGCTAACACTTTATGTTAAAGTACACAAATTAACCATCAACTAGTTGTTAACTAACATGCGTACTAGCAGTATATTGGCTCTTTATTAGTCATTATAACCATAACCATATTCTACAAGTAATAAGCCATTAGTTGAGAGTTTTTCCTCAATAACCCTCTAATTAGTGCTGATTTGTTGCAAGTCAGGAAGTTGTTGTCCATGAGTTTTGGTCTCTTACACATGATGTTAGTCTTTTCTGCAACCTCACTGGTGCCAAAGATAATAAACTGATTACAATCTCATTAATGATCCACATCACTGCACTGGGTGTCACCAGTGTAGTTTATTTTAAGCTGATCTGACGTATCCCGCCCTGGAACTAAAATATATATTCAGACATTTGAATAAAAACCTCTGCGAGTTAAATACTTTTTTGCATTCACTTTTTAAATGTTGCTAGAGTTAGGCCTCGGTGATGTGGCTATGAACAATAATATCTCGATACTTTTAGGCTATATGCCGATTTATATATAGATATTTTTGAATCACTTTCCATAAAACATGATGATTTTTATTTTAAGACATGTAGGGATATTCATAATGCCCAGGCCTGACCCAAATAATTGATTTTAAATCCTGATTAAAACACTGATGATTTGAGCAGATTTGTTCCACATTCCACAAAGATTGTTAGTTTAAATGAACCAACCAGATCAGAGATAGGTGTATTTCAGTGTCAGATGAGATAAAAAAAGATTTGCTAAATAATTTCCAGGTAAAACTCAATGTTCACGATATAGTCATTTCATACCTCATACGTAAAACAACCCACGACACATCGAGTGTAGTCGATGTATCATGAAAAAAACACTATAATAAATAATAAGTAAGGGATAATAAGTAAGGGATAATAAGTAAGGGATAATAAGTAAGGGATAATAAGTAAGGGATAATAAGTAAGGGATAATAAGTAAGGGATAATAAGTAAGGGATAATATGTAAGGGATAATAAGTAAGGGATAATAAGTAAGGGATAATATGTAAGGGATAATATGTAAGGGATAATAAGTAAGGGATAATAAGTAAGGGATAATAAGTAAGGGATGGTATGTAAGGGATAATATGTAAGGGATAATAAGTAAGGGATAATGTGCAGCGACTCGGTCATTATGGGGAAAAGAACACCGACAGGCTGATCAGGAGCCCGACGCGAAGCGGAGGGATCTAGATCGGCATGAAGGTGTTCTTTTAATAATAATAATAATAATAATAATATATTTTATTTCTATAGCGCTTTTCCTGAACCCAAAGACGCTTTACATTTGGGAGGGAGGGTAGACAAACAAAACTAAAACAAAGCCAAAAAGAAACAAAACAAAACAGAAAAGCAGTCAGGAGGAAGTTGATTGAGAGGGGGGGGGGGGTCTTATGGATACAGAGTTGAAGAGGTGGGTTTTGAGGCGGGACTGGAACTGGGTGAGGGACTCAGACTCACGGAGGTCTTGGGGGAGTGAGTTCCAGAGCTTCGGGGCTGCCACAGAGAAGGCTCTGTCCCCGAAGCTCCGGAGTTTGGCCTTGGGGATGAAAAGCAAACCGGCTGAGGTGGATCTGAGGGACCGGGGTGGTTGGTAGAGGATGAGGATGTCAGTGAGGTAGGGGGGGGGGGCAGATGGTGGAGGGCTTTGAAAGTGAGGACCAGGAGTTTGTAGTGGATGCGGTGTGAAACGGGGAGCCAGTGGAGTTCTTTGGGGTGATGTGATGCCATGATTTGGTGTGGGTGAGGAGTCTGGCTTCTGCGTTCTGGACACGCTGGAGTCTGTTGAGGGATGTAGTGCTGATGCCGTAGAGGAGTGAGTTGCAATAGTCAAGGCGGGAGGAGATGAAGGCGTGAATGAGTCGCTCAGCTGCAGGGCGGGTGAGAGAGGGATGGAGTTTGGCAATATTGCGGGGGTGGAAAAATTAGGTTTTTACAACTTGACGGATGTGGGGCTCGAGGGAGAGGGTGGGGTCAAATATAACGCCAAGGTTGCGTGCCTGGGTGGAGGGGGAAACAGGGGTGCCATCAATGGTGAGTGTCAGGTTGGGGTTTTTGCTGAGGGTGGATTTGGAGCCGATGAGGAGGAGTTCAGTTTTATCGCTGTTGAGTTTGAGGAAGTTGTGTTGCATCCAGGATTTTATTGCAGTCACACAAGATTCGATGTGGGTGAGGGGGGGGGGGGGTTGTTGGGGGATTTGGTGCTGAGGTAAATCTGTATGTCGTCAGCGTAACAGTGAAAGTCCAGGTTGTATTGGCGGATAATCTGACCAAGGGGGAGGATGTAGATGATGAAGAGGAGGGGGCCGAGTACTGAACCTTGGGGAACACCTTGGGTGACTGAAGCTGTGGCAGAGGAGTGGTTGTTGAGGGAGATGAAGTGGGATCTATCGGAGAGGTAGGACTGGAGCCACCTGAGTGCAGTACCTTCAATACCGATGTCCTGGAGTCGGGTAAGCAGGATGGTGTGGCTCACGGTATCGGAGGCTGCACTCAGGTCGAGGAGGATGAGGATGTTGAGGGAACCGGTGTCAGCAGAGGTGAGGAGGTCATTGAGGACTTTGATGAGTGCCGTTTCTGTGCTGTGGTGAGGACGAAATCCAGACTGAAGGGGTTCAAAAAGCTGGTTGGTTTGGAGATGGCGGTGGAGTTGTTTGGAGATGATGCGTTCTATTGCTTTTGAGAGAAAGGGGAGGTTGGAGATGGGACGGTAATTACTGAGGGAGGAGGGATCCAGACCGGGTTTCTTGAGGATGGGAGTGACAGCAGCAGTTTTGAAGGCAGAGGGAACGGTTCCTTGGGACAGGGAGGAGTTGAAAAGGTTGACAAGGTAGGGGCAGAGGACGGGGAGACAGGACTTCAGTAGAGGGGTGGGTAGAGGGTAAAGGGAGCAGGTTGTGGGTTTGGAGGAGCTGATCAGTTTGAGTATTTCAGGGGGGGTAACCAGAATGAACTGGGAGAGGCGGCCGTGGGGAGGAGGGCTCGGGAGGTCCAGGGAGATGTGGGGAGAAATTGTGGCGGTGGATGCTGGGGGAGATGTATGTGTGTCAGATGCAGCGGATAGGGAGAGATTAATGGCAGTGATTTTCCCCATAATGACCAAGTCGCTGCACATTATCCCGCTTATCACACGGCCACATTCTCAACAAAGTAACGACATGACTCCCAATATTAATTGAAATGCTTTTGTGGATTTAGAAAATGATTTTATTGATTTAAAAAATAGTTGTATGTATTGATTTAAATTTACATGCATCCGCTAAGAGAAATAGTCCGTTGTTACCGTTTAAACTAACGTAGCAACGGCAGGAACTGCTTCCATAGCGTTTTTGAGGAGCTTTTTGATTACAGATTTGAAAACATCGCTGCTTGTTTTAAAAGTAGCACAATTCATGATGTCAATCCTTGGAGAGTATCTAGATATCCCTGCCCTAATGCCAAAGGAACTGCACACTGAATATGTGTCGCCGTTTGATGTCTATGTCTGGACCGCTGCGTAACAAGGAGGTTTCTGCCCCGTTACTTCTCCGCTGTTTTCTTGTCGCTCTTGTCTTGTCAGTTAGAAAAGCAAACTGCATGCAGTTTGCTTTTCGGCCCAACGGTATACAGTTAAATCGACCGGACTTCTTTCTGAAGATGTGAGCGTCCTTAACAACGGTCAATAAGTCCTTGACAGCGGTCAGTCTGTTCTGGATTAAGAACGTGTCACATGTTCTGAATTGACCAATCAGAATCCCGTATTCAACTAAGCCATGTAATAATAATAAATAATAATAATGTTGATCATACATACCCAGTTGTTTGGTTTAAATAAATCCCAACAACCCGCCTCTGATTGGAGAATCGTGCCCAGGAACACCTAGCAAACAAAACATGGAACATCAGCTCTGTGTTTTACCGTCAAATATTTATTATAATAAGTCGTATGATACTCGAATGTGAGAGAAACGTACGCAGAGAAACAGCGGGGTCAGGCATCTCCATGAGGTCATGCTGCCTCTGCTGCGACCATCCAGATCAGAGGAGGAAACAGAGACAAGGTTGAGAGAGAGAGAGAGAGAGAGAGAGAGAGAGAGAGGTGGTTAGCATTAAACAGAGACGAGAGAGAGAGAGAGAGAGAGAGAGAGAGAGAGAGAGAGAGAGAGAGAGAGAGAGAGAGAGAGAGAGAGAGAGAGAGAGAGAGAGAGAGAGAGAGAGAGAGAACACTCACAGTTTAGCTCCAGGAGTGTTTGGACGAGACGTGGAAGTTGATAATTTCTTCGCCAACGATGATGTAAGAAACTCCGTAACCGTCATCAGCAACCTGACAGGAAACAGAGAGGATATAACAACCCCTCCTCACACGGCACCTATATTCAAATGTGTGTCCAAAAACCATTACCTCAATTTGATCTTTAATTGGAGAAAGTTCTGACACATCCAGTCATTGATTTGTTCAATGCACTTAGTCAGTGTTTGAATTGGAGCATAGTCTCCTGGTGAAATGGTTATGTAACGGCGTTCACACCAGCCTTGTATAGTCCGGTTGAATGGAACCCTGGTGCGTTTAGCCGCTTGGTGCGGTTCATTTGGGTCGGTGTGAACGCAGACCTCTGAAGTGAACTAAACAACCGGACTCTGGTCCGCTAAAATAGGTGGTCTCGGAGCGCTTGCTAGTGAACTCTGGAGCGGTTCATTGCTGGTGTGAACGCAGTCCGCACCAAAACATAGGAAGCGTAGTATTTACGAGTCACAAGAACGCGATGTCTTCAAAAATCTTCAGCGAAAGAGTTTTTCAAGACATCCGCGGTTGTTTAGTTAAAGAGTGAAGCAGAATGAAGAGTTGAACAGTGTCGTGTAAAGTAAAAATTCTCAGTCAGCTACATAAAATTAAGAATACTTGTCGTCGGTGAAACGCCCTCCTGACTGCAGAACGTGTGTTATAATGGTTTTTAACGGACGTTGTCTGATTATATAATCATATGCGCGGGCCGCTAGAGTCTGTTGATCTCCAGATTAACAGCTGCATGAGAATAACCTGCCGAAAGTGCCGATGCTCCATGGCGGAGGCTCCGGGAGAAATTGCTGGGATTTGCGTTTTTACCCCCTTAATGTCTGACCAATGGGTGAACAGCATTTCCGAGCACATGACTTGTGTTTAAAGTTTATAGTTCGTTTGAGTTTTGCCGTGTGAACGCAAACCGGACCTTCTGAGAAATGAAACAATGCAACAAACTGTGGTCTGGTGCGCAGCAGAAGAGAAGCGACTATTAGGTGTGAATGCACCCTAAATGTGTGTGTCATCCGCATAACTATGGCAAGTTATTTAGTTGTTCTTCATTATCTGAGCCAGTGGTAGCATGTAGATGTTAAAGAGAAGAGGCCCCAAGATGGAGCCTTGAGGAACCCCACATGTCATATTTGTCAACTCAGATGTGTATTTACCTATAGAAACAAAGTTGTTTCTGTCCTTTAAGTAGGATTCAAACCAATTCAGAACTGTTTCCGAAAGTCCCACCCAGTTCTCCAGTCGGTCTAGTAATATGCTGTGGTCAACAGTGTCAAACGCAGCACTGAGATCTACTAATACTAACACTGAAGTTCTGCCCCTGTCTGTGTTTAAGTGGATGTCATTAAAGACCTTTACAAGAGCAGTCTCAGTGCTGTGGTTTGGACGAAAGCCTGACTGGAACACATCAAAACAGTTATTTAAATGCAAGAAATTACTCAACTGTTGAAAAACAACTTTTTCAATGATTTTACCTAGAAATGGGAGGTTTGATATGGGCCTGTAATTGTTCATTACTGAAGCATCTAGATTATTCTTTTTTAAGAGCGGTTTAATGACTGCAGTTTTCAGGGCCTGTGGAAAAATACCTGAGTGAAGAGATGTGTTTACTATATGAAGTAGATCTGAGGCCATGCAACGAAAAACATCTTTGAAAAACCCTGTTGGAATAATATCAAGGCAGCAAGAGGAGGATTTCAGAAGTTGAATAATGTCCTCTAGGTTTTTATCATTAATCTGATGGAGTTGTGTCATGATGTCTGAATTGATGTTAAGTGGAGATAGGGACAACACATTTGCTGTTCCTGATGCAGAGGCACTGACTGCTTGTCTGATGTTCTGAATGTTGTCAGTGAAAAAGGCAAAATCATTGCACGCCCTGGTGGATAGAAATTCAGAGGCTACTGACACTGGGGGGTTAGTCAGTCTGTCGACGGTAGCAAACAAGGCACGTGCATTGTTTTTGTTTTTGGTAATGATGTCAGAGAAGAACGATTGTCGTGCGTTTTTCCATTCCAAATTATAAAGGCCAAGTCTCTCTTTATAGATTTCAAAGTGAACCTGGAGATTTGTTTTTCACCACCTACGTTCAGCTTTTCTACACTCTTTTTTCTGTTCTCACGGTCATGGCCTTTCTCCATGGAGATCTTTTCTTCCCTTCCATACCGTAAGGGCCTCAGGATTGCGGATTGTCCAGTGTTCCTAAAGTTTCCCTAGGGGGGTTCCCACGAAGCCCTAAAAATAAGCGGTCGCCGCCGACGCGTCCGGGACGCCCGGCCGATCACCGGGGGACAAAAAGCGCTGCGATTTTCCAAAGTTTCGGCCGTTTTGGCGAAATTCTCGCCTCGTCCACCGGAGGGCGCATTGTCCTCTTCAAATACATAACTACAGTGTATATGTATTTTAAGTGGGCAGTCCGCTTCAAATCACTTTTCAAGGCCAGGAAAGGTCTTTGAAATGTGGGTTAAAGTGTGTTAAATGGGAGGAGAGTGTCATTAACTATTACCCAGAGAACAGGCATCTATAACATTTTTATTTTTGAATTAAAATGATCTACTAGCTCATTTACTGAGATGTTGGCAGGGGCAAGTGTGGAAGAAACATTCTGAGTAAACATTTCCCTAGTATTTTCAGTTAAATATCGCTTTGTGGTTACCTCTTTTTGAACATTTTTGTGAACAGAAATAGAGCTCTCAAAGAAAACACAGGAATGGTCAGAGAGCGCAACATCAGTCACCACAACCTTAGAGATATTCAGACCCTTTGAGATAATTAAGTCCAGAGTGTGCCCCTTATTGTGCGTGGGCTCCGTCACATGCTGAGTCAGTCCATAGCTATCAAGAACACAAAACAGTTCTTTAGCCCCTCTGTCCTGGGGGTTGTCAACATGGATGTTAAAATCACCAACAATGACTAGACGGTCAAAGTCAATACACACTATAAACAGCAGTTCAGTAAAGTCATCACAAAAGCTTGCACAGTATTTGGGTGGTCTATAGATATTTAGGAACAGAGCTCGAGAGGAGCATTTCAGCTGAAGGGCCACATATTCAAAAGAATCAAAGTTCCCATAAGATGTCTTCCTGCATTGAAGGGAATCATTGAACAGAATAGCAACTCCACCCCCTTTCTTATGCATTCTTTCCTGACTCATAAAACTAAAGTTGGGAGGGGTTGATTCGATAAGAACAGCTCAGTGACGTGCGGTGAGGTTCATGGCCGGTGAGGCACTGACTCTTTCAGAGTCAGATTTACAAATATCATATTTTGACCATAATCGACATATTCTGTTATTTTCAAAAGCTTTTTTGGTCTGATGTTTCGATTCATTTTAAACAGACCGTTCAACAAAAGGATACCCAACATCTAAATATTGGATTGTTCTTTCTTAGTAAGATCCCATTTGCATTACCAATGTGGTCTTACCTTGACTTGAAGATGAAGTCCATGCTCTCCTTCTGGACAACAATCTCTATTACTGTTTTGTAAAAGTCCTCCTTATCTTCCTCTAGTTTCAAAAGTCTAGTTTGTTGTTCGCGTCTATACCGTCTCTGCGTAGAATAACAGTAGCAACAAGGACCTGTGGGCTCACGTGCGCCCCCTTCAGTGCGGCAGAGGTTATGGCTGCCTCCCCTGGTGCTTTTTTCATTGCCGTTGTACGATGAGACCAGCGAGCCTAAATATCATATATACGTGAAATAAGTTATTTAGAGACTATGGATGGCGAGGATAAATGTAATAAAGGGATATACAAACATTACATTGGTGACCTACAGTGAGATGGTGCAGGCATGCGCTTAGGGCCCGCTTTCCAGCCAGTTTCTGTGGGTTGACGCATTTTGAGGTGAGGCAGAGCTCATCTGTGCCTCACCTCACCACACAGTAACTGGCTGCAGCGCGCTCACAAAATAAGTGCCCGCGCTAAATTAGTGCCCGCGCTCCAGCCAGTTACTGTGGGCTTACGAGAGGCAGAGCTCGTCCCTGCCTCTCTCCTCATCGCTCCCATAGTTGTAGCGGAGCTCGGCAAATGTGCTAATTTTGACTATAAAAAGCGATTGGAATCAAACAGAAATCACACTTACAACACAGATCAGTGGAGACATGTTATTATTATTACTATTTAGTTTTTCTTTAGTTGTTTTTCCGTTACATTGGAGTATGACAGGTGAGACTCTGCCTCCCCTGACTGCACGTCGCTGGAACAGCTGCACTGTTATTTTGTTCAATCCAAGTTTCCGTTAAAAACATAAAATCGAGATTGTGCTCAGTGATAAAATCATTGATTAAAAATGTTTTTCCTGCCAAAGACCTGACATTTAATAAAGCTAGTTTAAGTTTGTTAAACACACTATCAGTCATGTTTTTTGTAACAAGCTGTGGCTGACATGGAATCACTGCTAAATTAGATAAACTCACACAAACGTTTGAGCGCTTCCTGTTTCTATGATTCACCGCTCTCAATCTATCTGCAGAGCGGAGTGCACGTGCTGGGGTGTACAGTTTAACCATGTCCTGGATGTAGCAAGGGCCAGATCCACCACAGCATGGTGCGCCAGTACAGTGGTTCCCAACCTTTTTTCCCAAGAGCCCCCCCAAATGACTCCTGTTGGAAGTTGCGCCCCCCCACACACAAGGGGGGGGGAAACAGCGGTAATTAAAGTTTCAAAGTCTCAAAATGCTACAACTACTGTCACAAACTGGATGAATGTGGAGTATGTTGTTAAAGGAGGATGAAAGCGTAATCAAGGAGCACTATTGGAGCGACTTTGATGGTTATTGGACTCAGGATTCATTCATTTGGATTCCCGCTGTATGAAGAAATGAAAGGACGGCGGAAGTGGAAACAATTCACAAAGGCATTAAACTGTTTAAAACACATGCTCAAAGTAAGCCGGATTTTGCCGATGTGTTTCTGTGGATTCAAAAGTCGTACATAATCTACAAAATGGAGGAGACCGATCTGATCGGAGCAACTGTGACGAATAATCCAACTGAAGCCGGCATGGACAATGACTATGTTTTAAACATGCACTTAT